TCTGAACACCTGGAACCCTTGTAACCTTCGCCATATATAATGCAATGCAATTCTGTAACTGCATTGAAGAATACTATTACTTGGGACCTTGACTGTCTGAAAAAAATGGGGTAACAGGAGTCTCAGGAAGTTCAGCAAGGGGAAACGCAGAGCCCTGCAGTTTGGGATTAATAACACCATGCACCAGTAGAGGCTGAGGATCAACTAGCTGGTTGCAGCCTTGCAGAAAAAGACCTAGGGTCCTGGTAGACAAGTTGAACATGAGTCAGCAATGTGTGCTCACAGCAAAGGCGGCTAACAGCATCCTGGGCTGTATTAGGAACAGTGATTACAGGTCAAGGGAGGTGACTCTGCCCTTCTACTCAGCCCTGGTTATGGCCACACCTGGAGTGCTGGGTCTTGTTCTGCACTCCCCAGTACAAGGCAGACACGGACATACTGGAGCAAGTCCAGCAAAGGGCAATAAAGATGTCTAAGTGATCAGAGCATATCTCATATGAGGAAAAACTGAGAAAGCTGGGACTGGTCAGCCTAGAGAAGAGAAGGCTCATGGGAGGATCTCATCAATGTGTATAAATAACCTGATGAAAGGGAGTAGAGAAGATAAAGGCAAACTCTTCTCAGTGGTATCCAGTGGGAGTGCAAGAGGCAATGGGCACAAATTGAATGCAAGAAATATTTAAACAAAAGAAACAGGTTTTTCACAGTAAGGATAATTGAACACCGAAACAGGTTGCCCAGAGAGGCTGTAGAGTGTCCATCTTTGGAGGTATTCAAAACCCGACTGGACATAGTCCTGAGTGCCCTGCTTTAGCTGACCCTGCTCTGAAAGGGGAAGCTGGACTAGACAGCCTCCTGACATTGCAGTCAACCTCAACTATTCTGTGATTCTGTATAAAACTAGGTCAATCTTTATAGAAGCTATCTTCTTACCTTAATGCACTATGCAGTGAAAATCTGAAGTACAGAAGGCTAGACAGAACTGTGGGAACTTTACTGAAGTAAACCACCAAACAGCTTTAAGTAAACATACTGCATTCAGGTTACATAAAACCTTTCCTTTGTAGCAAAATGTTAACTAGAAAAGCTCAATTATGGTCTTTGTAAATATCCCTGTAAAGACATTTTTAATGATTTCTTAAGCTAAAATAAATAACCTCAAAATCCATCAACATTACCCTGCTTCTAGCATCTAAATAAGAAGGAATTATCTATGTTTAAAATATAAATTAAAAAACCTGCATTGCTAGAAGCTATCTGAATATCCACCCACCTCTATTCACTGGAAACTTGATCTTTAAAAAGGTGTGTGAGGGAAGTCATTCCAGTTTAATGCTTTACCACCATGAAAGCAAATTAAACTGGAGGCAATCATATGCTCTCTAGTTACTAATATCCTCTACAGTAGAACCCTCTGCCTTCCATAGCCCAGAGATTATATTAAAAATCAGTGCACTGAAGAGTAGCAGAGGAAATGAAGAAGGAACTTGGAAAATGCATTATGATTCTGGTCATCATAGCAAGTGAATGACTTCCAGATGTATTTCATACAAGGCTGAAAAATGCAAACTACATTTACAGGTCTTCTTTAGAGAAAAACAAAGCTGAATAAAAAAGCTAATTTGATACCAAAAAAAGCTGCAAATTACTGTTGCAAATGTAGTGTCTTACTAGAAGTAGTTAGAATTGCTTTTGCATACCTTAAAGCATGAATTAATGACAAGGAAACAGACTGTACAGAACTGTATGTTGAGCCTGACATGCTCTTCAGTCTATGGAGGACATCAGCCCATTGAACTTTCCTCAGTAAGAAAACAATGACTTTTTTTTTTCTTTTTAATCACAGCAATCCTTTAATGACAATTTCTGACATGTACCTGTCAAGCATGCTTAGGCTAAGTCCTGAGCTACCTGTAGCCAACCATTTAAAATATAAATGCTTAAAAATATTCAAAATCTCAAGTTCAAATTTAGTCATTCCAGGTGGCATCCATCCTGTGAGTTAGATCATGAGTCTTAACTAGATGTTCAGACACACTTTACAGAATTGCTTCTGAGAGAAGTCCACTCCTCTGCCCCTAAGTCCACTTTAACTCTAAGAATGCATCCCTAAATGGAGAGCTTAGAATTATTATTGACACTAACAGGACAAAAATTTGGTGCTTAATTGTTCTCTGTGGCTTTGAAAAGTTCCCCATTAAAGAAAAGTGGTTTTAACTTCCAGAAAAGCACAGCAGCTACAAAACCCACTAAGACTTAGTGAAAGCAAAATTTGTCTCCTTAAAACCAGGCCTTTTTAAAATTTCAAATGACTAACTGCGGATTTAGAACCCTAAAGTACAGGCTTGTAAATATTTTGAACTTTTATTTTTTAAAACAGGCTTTTCATCCTTACTAAATCAGAGAATCTCGGTGAGTAATGCTATCCCATTGCTATTTTGGTGCAGCAACAATGAATCACCTCTATTACTTAACACATCCATTCTGAAGAATGCCGGATTACCATGATTCGTACTGGCATGAGTGTCAGCCAGAATTATATAGCAGTTGGACCATGGACATCAGGATTTTCAAGGGCACAAATGAACTCCTGTTGCTCATTTCCACATAACTACTTGTGGACACTCATCACCTAACAGCTTGTTGTTTTTGAAACTCATCTTAAAAAGTAGCAGCTACCATACTGATAAAGTCTCCTCAGTCTCTCTATGCTTGTGTGAAATGTCAACATCGTGAAGGGAAAACAAAAAGCTGTCATGGAATTTGCTACCAAATTTCAAGTGAAAAATGAAAGTTTTTGTTTCAAAATTTTGCTAGTGTCTCCCAGTAACTCCAGTTCAGGTGTCTTGTGCCCCTCCTCTCTTCTAAAGCTCAGTGTCTCTAGACTATCCTCTACTAGCACGTGCTAGACACCCTCACTGAGTCAGCATGGGTGCCTCTGTTAATGACATGTCATGAGAAATAGGACCTAGCTGAGAAATTGTCCAAAAGTTAGAGACAGGAGACATACAAACTACATTTTCTAGTAACGGGTTTATGCCTTATTTGACTTCTCATTTAAATACAAAGAATTATTATTTTAACGTAAAAATGTACATTGGTACGTACTTTTTCCAAGTCTCTGTCAGGGTTTTGAGTGCACCAAGAGGCACTGCAAACTCTTCCACTCCCATTCCCTGGGCTCAAGGCCAGCTCTGACACTGCACAACTGTGTAACCTTGGGTAAGACCATGGTGACAGTGCTGTGCAAGAAAGAGTTGGGAGAAGCCTTGTTAGGCACATCTCCCCTTCACTTGGGAGCTACACTAAAGCTTAGACTGCATCTAAGCCCTTGGTCCTTGCCTGACTTATGTTACTGGTGTGCCTATATCTGGCCAAGTACCTCATTGATCTTGAGTGATTTGACTGCCTGGATTGACCTTTGACCTGGAGATCTGAACAGACTCACCTGGAGGTCTGAACTCTTGGCTTGACCCTGTTTACTGTCACTGGACCTGCTCTGCTCTCTTTGTTCAGGTTCTGTGGGACTGCTGCTTTATGGGTGATGCCACTGCCCTGCCTGCCTTGCTGTCAACTCCCAGCTTAGCTCTGGGAGATCTCACTGTGGGATCAGCTCACTCTTGCTTCTCTCTAAGTGTCAAATTCAGTTGTCAGTTGAAAAGGAAAAAGAAAAAAAATCAAGTAACTTTTCAGACAGCACTTGATGAAAGGTGGGTGGTTCTTTCTACCAATGTTGCTATTAATTCAGCCCAAAAAGTTTTAGAAGAACCTGGTATGTTCATATGTGTAAGTATAAAGATCAGTGTGAAGCTGAGACCAGTCCCTCAGTAATTATCATGGTCTTCCTAGAGCTCTGGAATTGATAGTTTTATTAACTATCTCTCTCAGTGACGCTCCATCAGAGATACAGAGCAAAAAGTGTTTGAAGCATACAAGTACCACTACCTATCCTAGGTTTGAATATTTTTTTTTTGTGGCAGATTCAGGATAGGTCTTATCACTGTGTCCATATGTGTATTTTTAACTCCTTCCTTATGTGAAACAAAAGGCTTGCACCAGTAGTCCTCGGAAGCAAGCTGCAGCCCAAATAACCTCCCTCCCCTGCTTCCCCATCCAAGAATTGGTATATTTTTAAAAGCCACCCTCCTGGAAGGCAGCAACTGACAGACTACAGACTTCTACAGTATAATTGGTCTGGTTGAAAAAAAGAAAAAAAAAATCAAGTTAAAACCATTTCAACAACAGCAATGGAGTAACAGTTCTTCATATTTATGCATTGCCTCTCACCCTGGAAACCCAAAGCTGCTTACACAAGGTAAGTTTCACTGAACTCTTGTGAACTAGTTACACATTCTGCACAGTGGTAAACCAAGGCTGTGAGAGGCTTCAGGGACTTGCCTAAGAACATGCTGCTGGAAAATGAGAAAAAAACTTGACATACATAGAACTTATGATAATCTCGAAGATGGTACAGTTACCAACAATTCTTTTGTTTGTTTCTTTTGGACAACCAAACCCAGGAATTCGAGTCAAACATCAAGTGATCCTGCCAGTAATCTTTAAAATTCAGATGATGGTACTATTTTTTTAAATAGTTGCTGATGTTTTGGGGTTGGTTTTTTTTTTTTTTTTACATTTTCTCTCTTGGAAGTTGAAAAATGTAATATATTGAGATTAAAAAAGGTTCTTTCTCTCCTCAGTAAGGACTTTGTAAGAATGTCTCATGGGACAGGAAGATAAATCTTCTCAGGACCACAACAGTTTTAGTTGCTGTGATTTTGCAAGAGTGAGGTGTGACACAGTAGCAAACCATGTTGCTGCTGTGGAAGGGATTTTATTCAGGTCTCCGAGCTCCGAGAAGCTTGACATGTTTGTCCTTGCCATCTACTTCTCCTGGTAGGTATTTCAATTGCTAAATTTCATACCAAGTCTCATCAAGACAATACCCCCAACATGCTTCACAACATATAAAGATGAATTTGTGCAAGGTCTGTACTCACGCAGAAGTTGTCTGCATATCATGCCAGCTTTTGCTAAAGTTCTGCTTCAGTTCATTCATCAGACTTATGCCAAGCTTTTGTTTAATTTCGACCAGGTGCTTTTCTTTGGCTGCTAGCACTTGCCGCAAAGTTGAAATTTCATCCTCTAGCTGAGAGAAACAAAGAGGGAGGAGAAAGGAGAAAGGTGTTAGCCTGTTCCCACAGAATGATAAATACATACAATGTTAAGAGATTAAAGAAATCTCACATAAACTTGCATTTTTTTGTAGGTGACTAGAGAGACAGAGAGATTGAAGTGCTTGTGGAGATCACAAAGACATGTCCAGAACAGAGCCAAAGAGACAAAAATTTGATTAAATTAATGTCTCAAATTGTGTCACCTATGTGCCCCATCATACACATGCATCTGATAAGAGAGAGAATTGTCCAGTAAGGAAGTGACTACTGAACGACTTAGCCAAGATCTGCCTTAGGGCATTAGGAGTCTCAAACATCAGCTTTACATTTGCTGGTAAAATGGGAATGGGCACAACAAGAGAAGACTGGATAATTCAGGCAAATATCTCTCTTTGAATGCACAGGCTTTTAAATTCATACTTGCAGCTTTTTAGTCTTCCACTCATGAAAAAAAAAAGATGCAAATTCTTAGGAGCAAGTTAAAAAAAATAAGTTGCATGATAACGTATGACTTGAGAGTATCATAAAACGTTACATCCTTGTCACATGGGTTTTATCTATTTATTTTAGTAACATAAAAATATATAGCAGATGGACTGTTAACATGAGTGAACAGGTCCTACCCAAAGCATAGAAGCATTCAGAAGACACAGCACATTAGTCTTTTCAGAGCTCCTAGTCATTAACCAAACTGTGTGAATTCACGTTGTTAAGGATGCCATTCAGCCCAAACAGAGGGATATAATTGTGCCTGCAGCGGATGTTATTTGAAACATTTAGACTAAGCCAGTGTTTTAGCAAGGCAAGGACCAGAACACTTGACTGAGAGGAGGGACTGCTGAATCAGCCTGCCACTGGCTCAGGACCCAAGCCTTGTGCAGCACTCTGTAAGCATGGGTTTGCATTCTTTATCCTGAAGCCTCCCAAGCCAATTACACAAGCAGCACTCAGAGGTACTGAAGATAACAAGGGCAAGTGACACCAGAGCAGCTGCCTTTCACTTCAGGTTTAGAAATTCCCTTACCAACTGTGTTCCTTCCTCCATATGTTAATAGGATAACATATGGTAATATGTCTGATTACCATATGTTAAGTTCCCTGGAACCACAGTCTCCCTGTGATTTAACTCCATAGGCTGCAGGGAATGAGACAAGCACCAGCTGAATCAGTTGCTGACCTCCAGGGCTGTATTTAGGATGTCAATACCAGCATTATTTTTACTTTACACACTCACACATTCTGCTTCCCTGTAAAAATGGCTAAAGGCTCATTGTTCTTGGAAAAGTCTCACCCTTGAATCTCCCAGCTATCAGTTTCTCTTTTGTCACTACCTGCTATCTAAATTATTCAAGCAGCTCAGGAATTAAGCAGCAAGACTATGAACACAAAGCAAAATCATAACCTCAGTGAAGCAGATACCTATTCACCAATGCCTGCGATGCCAAAACTTCACTGGTAGAATAGATATCAATTCAAAATTGCTTTATTTCTTCCCGTGTCCTTTATGCTCCATTATATTCCTAACCTAGGCTGCGGTGCCTATCATGGGGTCTGGAGTAGCCGTGGGGGTTGAGGT